ATTTTTTATAAGGCTCAATTTGAGCCGTTTCCCAAAGTAAGGTCACTCGATGTTCGTATATATAATTGTACATATAATTATACGATTAATTTAACAGATGACAGTGGTAATTTGAATAGGCGATTCGTATGACTCGATTACATCGATTCATAAATCATTATTCATTCTGTTTGTTTAAAAATAGGAAAAAATTAATACGTCGTGGTCGTGATGTAATATTCCGTAAGTAAGTAATTGCTTTCTATAATTATAAGAACGTAGTTATTAATTTCCGTAGTTCATGTTATTGTAGCTCTATATTCTGATTTTACAACACTATATTTAGTTCGTATATTTGTCACAAAAGATTAGATTTTGTTTATAACTAAGAAAGTTCTCGCGTCATTTCCTAGTCAATAGACAGCTTATTCATAATAATATGCAGGGCTGGGTAATATTTAAAATAATTCCATTTTAAATATGTATTTAAAATGGAAATGGCATTTTGCATCTTCTATTTTTAATGGTTTTTGGAAAATCATTTTTATTTTATATTTGAAATGGAATCGTGTCTATCATTTAATCATTTATAAAATAGGTAATAGTTTTCCTATGTTTTCACAAATTTTCCCTAGAATCGTTGACGTATAAGAAAAACCAAGCCCCATGATTGGCTAAAGATTTTTATGAATATTCAAATAAGCTGCAAATTAAACTGTAAAGAGAAAATTAATTCCAGATAGTCCATAAATATCGAACCTTAATTAAAAAATTAATGTTCCAGCTTTCTATAAAATACTATGTAGATTTTAAAAAATGTATATTACTCTTAATATTTAATTTTGACCATAACCGGCGCTTATCGTATTAATTTGATTTATTCAAGTAAACGATCCCGTTTCCAAATCATAATATTAAGAAATTTAAAATATTCTCAGAAATATATACTTTATTTATAATACTGTAGTCCGGGCTTCAAATTCCGTTAAAAATGGAGTTCAAATGTAAAATACTTTTAAAAAATGTATATCACCTTAACGGAAAGTTTTTACGAAAAACTATATAAATTGAAACAAGATTTTCAAAATTCTTAATTTTTCATAGATATTCATAGGGGTATAGAGTAGTGTTGTTTATTTAAAAAATCAAGAAATCTTGCGTCCCCAAACAATGTCATTCTATGTTTCACTATAAATAATAACGAAAAATTATTTCTGAGACAAACAAACCTCACTCTATGTCCCACTATGAATACCTAAAAAGATTTTGTCTCAATCTATATAATTTTTCTATACTTTTTCTCAAAAATTTTTTTTTCGCTAAGGCAGGAAAAACCATTTTGCATTTGAAAACTATTTAAAATACCTATTTATCCATTTTACATTTAAAATGGATTCGAAAGACCCATTTTGCATTTTACATTTTAAACATACTTTTTAAAAATATTTTATAATTAGTATTTTAAATGGAATTCGAAAGACATTTTACCCAGCCCTGATAATATGTAAAACAATTAAAATAAAAAGGATATTGTTGCTAACAATATCTTATGCCATTATACATAATTATTGTTAATTTTATATGTTACTAAATATTTTCAAAATGACAAAATAAAAGTTAAGATGTTTATTTGATGCATACGCATCGTTCATTTAACATATATTCTAGCTTTTATAAATTGAAGAATATAAATTTCTTGTAAACTGTATGGTCAGTTTAAATGAAACTTCACGAGAACAAACTTAAGTGTTTACTTTATAATTATAACAATTTTTTAATTGTTATCTTATACGTAAGTGTCTCAATTTACTAGAGAATAACTACAGAATAAGGTTATTCAATTTGTAATGTAAAATTCTATAAATTTATAATTAAATGTCATCAAAATGCTACTGTAAAAGTCAATGAAATTTTTTCTAGATATTATTAATATTATTATCTTTACATTACATGTATATAATAGACTTGTCTTATATTTCATTAAACGCGAGAACCTCCTTAAAGAAAAGGAACTTTTTGTATGGTGATACTAATGTGGGCCATGTCCGAGCACATGCGTAAGTGTGACATATGTCACAAATAAGACCTAAGCCGAATAAAGCCCACCTAATTTATTTCTTTTTTTACTTCTATTTATAGAGATTGATAGAGATTTATAGAGATTGAAATAAACTAAACATGTAGGCAATTAATACATGTAGGCAATCGAGCTGTAGGCAATAATTTTTGTGCGCAATCGAACTGTAATGCAGACAAAAGTGATGTAGATAAACGATACTGTAGACAATCAATTTATGGGCAAACGGAATTTCCCCAAATAAAGGTATAGTATATCTATGTATTTTTATCGTAATTTGTAGATACATTGTGATAAATGTTTAATCAAGTTTCTTTGTCTGAACATCCATCATTTTATTGCAGTTTATGAACGCTATTTATGCTATATAATTCATTTATTAATATGTTTATATTATATTTATGAACATAAATGTATACAATAGACTGCACTTGAGAGGATTTATCTCAGAATATTAATAAAATAAGGTTAATAACAATAATAATTTTATTATCTATTATTATATATACGTATAAATTAATACATTTATGTTCGGAATGAATTTATGAAGCTCTGCCAGAAACATAATAGAAGCAACTTTTGATATTATACCCATACAGCACCAAACTTCCAAAGATGTTCATAGAACATTTTAAGAATGTACAAGTATTCTTAAGAACGTTCATATACGTTGTATTAATGTCATGTGCTATCTGGGATGTAACAATTTTATATAATAGATGCAATGAGGCGAATAATTACTCGATAATGATGCTCGTAGGCGTTCTCTTAGGCCTATTTTAAACGATCTATTATACAATTTGTGTCAAATGTTTTTTCAGGATAAAATTCTATTTATAATTGTATATATCGTGCATTTTGATATACTTATGCATTTAATATATATATTTTATACATACATATATTTTAATTCTTCGAAAATTTTGCATCTTAAGCGCATTCTACAATTGTGTAGCCCAGTCGTAAATGACTACAGTTATAAGAATTGACTAATTACAATCGAATATGCTCCACATTTTCGAATTGATTGATCAATTCTTACAACTACAACCACTTATAACTAGGTTTACGAAATTGTAGAACGGACTTTATACGATTATGATTTAGAAAATTAAAAATTGAATTCTATTTCAAATTCTAACACAAATTAGGCTTTCTACAATAAGCCATTACCTAAGCTTTAAGTCTTAAGGAATTAATCAATCATAATCAATTAATCTTCTTACATTCGACTGTGATTGATTGATTTCTAACGATTTAATAACGAATTTGGTCACTTGCACTACGCTAGATCAGTCCATAAAAGCTTTACGTGAAATTAGCAAAGTTAAATGTAAAAGTAGATATAAAAATATTTTAAACAATTAATTTATCTAAACAAATAAATTTATCTACTAATGATACATTATTTGTATATGTATCGTTGCATTGAGATATTTTATATAAAGTAGTTTTTAATATACACTGATTCAGTGTAGTGTGATCGAATTCACTCTAAGATTTAAAATTTAAGCTTATTGTAGACTAACAGCTTATTGTAGAGAGAAAACCCATTATATGCTGTGAAGACTTATTATATTTTATTTGAAAATATAAAAAAGTTAAATTATAATCACGTATAGCAATCAATCAACTATCAAACTATCATTTTATCATGTTAAAATATACTTTACATTATCGGGGGGAGGGGAGGAATGTTGATTAAAATGGAATTTACGCGTTATATATAATAATCTATAACATCTACGTACATAATGTAAACTATGTAAAGTATATTTCATCTGTATAAACAATCTATGCATGGGTATGGATCGAAATCTTGTTCATTGCACTGAATTGCAATGGTTTATATATTTTTCGCTTATATATTTTTATTTATCAATACTAAAATCAGATACATTAACAATCATAAAACTTGATTATTTCTATTTTATGTTATTTAATTTATAATAATTTACACATTTTACAATAATTGTATTATATCTACGTGAAAAAAATTTGTGTAAATGTACGTAAAAAATACGTAAAAAGTCCACATAAATATAATTTTGAAATATACCGCACAACTTTACTTGGATTAAAGAATAATTACTACTTGATAAAAAATGTTTCATGCATAAATACGTATAATTATGTATAAGCATACATAAACATGTATAAATATTCACAAACATATAAAATTTTATATGAAATATATCCATACATGTTCATATATCTTTCATTACTTTTTAATGTAATAGAAATAATAATAATAATATGAAAACATTAAAAATAAAAATAATTAAAAAGGTAACTTCGTATTATTTGTTTTAGAAACAAACCAAGTTTAAAGAAATGTAAACAAATTACTTATATTATATATAATTACATATAAAATTATGCATAATTATGTATGAGCAATTTTTTTTTAATTTTTCCAAACTTGTTTTTCTTTTCTAAAATAAACAATACGAAAATTATCCCTTTAATTATTTTTTATTTATGTTTTTACATTACTATATTATTATTTCTATTATACTAAAGTAATTTTATAAAAGAAAGAAGAATACATGAACATGCATGGACATATTTCATATATAATTATAAATGTTTGCAAATATTTATGCGTGTTTATGTACATTTATACATATTTATACATATTCATGCATGAAAAATTTTTTACTGGGTATTTTTATTCTTTTTTAAATAAGTATATCACATTTTAGATTCGTCATTTTTTAATTCTTCCCCTCGCTTCCCCCTCCTCCACAATATCATGTTTAATAATGCAGCAGAACGAATGAATTGATACAATATGTAATACTACTTTTTATTACAAAAATTAAAAATCATAGACATCTCTCTGATAGGAAATTTAAAACGGCGCAGAGGACGCCACCGTCCACTGATTTCGTTCGCGCATGATCCGCAGAGCAACCCGGGCAAGTGACGCGCGAGACGCAGCGATAACAGCGTGTGGCGGGGATAACCGCTAATTATCAATGGCGCGATGACGCGGATGCCGTACTACAAATGGCGGGTAATGAAACAGCTGTTCACGCTACTGTCAGCTCGACATCTAGCGGAGCGCGGGCGCGATCCGGCACGCGTCGGCGACGACGTCGACGTTGGATACGGTACGACGAGGAAGATCGTAGACGAGGTGTTAGAAGAAGGGCTAGGACGGCGGTGCCCGCTGGTGACCTCTCCAAGAGGAACATGGCTGCTGGTTGTTGCGGCGCGAAGAAGCAGAGGCTGGGCGGTGGCGGCGGCGCGGCGCCGAGCTTGTCGCCGTGTGACGGTACCGCCATACGGCACGGTACTCCTCAATCAAGGAAACCCGCGACGATCGCCCAACCAGAGATGGGCTTTTTTTGCTTCGACGTGCTCTATTGCCAGCTGCACCAGCTGGACCCGCCGAAGGCGCCCAACTTCAGCAACGAAGCGTTGTGAGTAGTTTTTACGATACCCTCTGTTTCTCTCTCTCTCTCTCTCTCTCTCTCTCTCTTCCTCTCTGTTCTCTCTCTTTTTCTTTCTTTCTTTTTCCTCCGCATCTGTCTGTCCATCTATCTGTCTCACTCGAGCGTCGCGTCAGCTGTTGTCTTTTCACTTGTCTCCGATGACAGGTCGTCTCTGTCACGCGAAGCTTGATCGAAACCGCGGCGATATTTTTATAACATTGAATTCCGATATTATAGAAGTATACACAGAAAAAATATAATATTCTACCAATTGTTATGTTTAATTCTTATCTTTACATTTAGTTTACGTATTATGAATTTCGAATTCCGAACCGATGATCTTTTTGATCTTAATTTCCGCCGATCTAGAAATTTATCTGTAAAATCAGCTGGGCTGCATTGTTGGTGCATTGTTTGGTCCTCGCGTGTGCGGATTATCTGTTGGCGCGCGATGCACGCATTATCGCGGCGTGCTTCGATTTACCCCATTGTACAGTGCTATGCCAACTATGTAGGCCACCTAAGGACGTTACGTTTGTTGCTACGGCATACTTGGATTAACGTTATTGATGAAAATCGCTTTTGTCTATCTAAATATTCTCACACACGTTATGTATATTATTTTATCCTCGGAAAAATTCATAGCGATAGATAATAAAAATTGTTTTTATTGTTGCTTTTGTATTATATTTATTTTGTATTATGCCTGTACCAGACTGAAATCTTACTAAATAGAAAAGAATTGATGTACTTATTTTGCTCTGGCATATTTTGCTTTTCTCTTTCCATCCCTGATGATTCGCTGTTTCTGATAAAAATAAGAAAAAAATGTATCTGAACATGAGATTTTTAATACGTCTTTTCAGCCCTTTATTTGTGACGTGGACAATAGGAAAAGATATGAGATTACGAGGTTGTATTGGTACTTTTAATGCAATGCACTTACATGCTGGGCTACGCGAGTACGCTACAACTAGGTGAGACTAAGTTTTCTCACGTTAAAAGATAGAATAGTACATATAGTAAATCACAAATATACAATATAAGTTATTTATAAATATATATTATAATGTATTAATATAATATATTATATATATATATATATATAT